ACTATGCTACTTTTCTTATATTTAAGTTGTCTCTGTGACGTATAGGCCACGGGTTCAACCGTGGAAGCAACCACTAATGCTTGCATTAGGTTAGGCTGTCTACATCACACCCCTTAGAGTGCGGCCCTTCCCCGGACCATGCGTGAACGCGGGATGCGTTGTGCACCGGCCTGCCATAATGTTGTTGTTTGTATTTGGGGAGGAGCTGTAAGAGCAATTCTACTTGTTAGTATTAGTGATGTCTTAGTGATTTGACGATGGTATCTTTTACAATGATGCATATTCTCAAATTTATTCTTTTTTCCTTGCTCACATGACAGGGATTTTGGCGTGGTAACGTTCCTGCTTTACTGATGGTTATGCCATATACTGCCATACAGTTTGCAGTGTTACACAAATTGAAAACTTTTGCTACTGGCTCTTCAAAGTCAGGTCTGTATCATAATTTGACCTGCTTGGGTAGATTTGTTAAATTTTATGCGTCAGTTTCCCCCTTTCTCATATGTTACAAGCTGTACAACTTTTGCACCTTATGTGCTTCTAGCATCTGACTACAGACGAGTTATATCTGGTGTAAGTTCAGTCCAGAAATCTGATTTACATATTAGCTGCTCAAAGATGCCTTTGAGTAACACTATTTTGTGCTTCCCTCGAGCAAGCGTCAACATCTGATGGATTGATTGTTTTTTATGATGCAGAGGATCACGTTAACTTGAGCCCTTATCTTTCTTATATCAGTGGAGCATTAGCAGGCTGTGCAGCTACTGTTGGTTCTTATCCGTTTGATCTCTTGAGAACGATTTTAGCTTCTCAAGGAGAGCCAAAGGTACGCGACACTTATCTATGACATTTGAATATAATATAACCTTTTTTGCATGTGATGCAAACTGTTGACATACATGTGGAACCAGGCCTCTTGCTATTCAAATCATTTTTGTGTTGGGTAAATTGATAAACTAAGAAAGGGATAAGCTTAACAAACTCAGCTTCACCTTTAGTTATATGTAGTGTTTTTACTAAAATTATACATAGACGTAGTTGATTGATTCGTTGGTACTATCATTTCAGAGAAACAAGCAATTGAAAATCTAGTTGTGGTAGATTAGTGTCTATTTTACATCTAGGGTACTCGGTTGTTAAGTGATGCATGTGGGAGAAAATACACAAAGTTACTTTCCATCTGAATGCTTTTGATACAATTATGTGAATACACTGATATTGGACGATTGAGTATACAGAATCGGTTATGCAATAACTACTTAAATTTTAAAAGAATGCAGTGTCATTGTCTTCAGTCTTCTCCTGTAGGCTCATTGTAATGATTCGAGCCTACTGATTACAAATTAACATGGTCTTCGTCCTACCTGAAGTAAGTATTGAATCTGCACTAAGGCCATGGTTGGTTGGGGAAATTCTTGTTTATTCATCATCTGATTCAAGTTAATGGGTTTGCCAGAACTGCATATGTAGATGATAGATGAAAAAAGCAATGATCAGAATATCATGTTAGTGTTTTTTTAGAATGAAAAAGTCAAGTGAGATTTGCTATACACTCTCTAGTTCAGTTGGAGTACAGTATGTACACTGTTTCTGCCTTCATCTTACCTAGGCTTTGTGTGGTATGCTCACGCACAGGTTTATCCAAACATGAGGGCTGCATTTGTTGATATATTCAGAACTCGTGGCATTCGAGGACTGTATTCTGGATTGACACCTACTCTTGTTGAGATTATTCCTTATGCTGGTCTGCAATTTGGAACTTATGATACATTCAAACGCTGGATGATGGTAGACCTCTTACCCTCTTCTGAAAAATCATTCATGGATTCTCTCACTACTATATTTGATACTGTTCACAATTGCTTGGGCATACAGGATTGAAGTGGGTGTATACTGCTCTGTTGGAAACACTTGTTCTAAATTCATAGAGGACATTTATGTAAATAAGCTGTAAAATTATGAGAATATGTTTCTATCTATAATACTAAGGGGTCGTTTGGTTGCCCGGATAAGGCACTAATCCGGGTATAGTATTTGGGATTGTATTTATCCATGTTTGGTTATGGGTATTAGCTAATACCGGTATAAATTTTATACCAAAATGATGGTATTAGCTATCCCATATAGAAGATGCGATAGCTAATCCCATAGAATATGCCAGCCCGATATCCTTGCCTATCCCACAATTGAACCAAACGACATCTAAATACACAAAAAATACTAGGTCTTGAATTTTTTTTCCAGATTTGATGTCCAAAAATCAAGCTGGGTTGAGGTCAAAGCTATTTAATGCTAGATTTCAATATTATTCGTGGTAAAATAGAAGAAGCAATAAAGTATAGGGGAAGTATTATGATGTAGAAGGTTTAAGTTCGTCTAAACGTGCATATGTCTATCTAAAATTACATTTGGCCGAAATCCAATTACCTTTGAAAAGTCAACTACACAAGCTTTAGTCCAAATGATACACCGCTCTGGAAACGATACTTCGAGAACTGTATGATTGGTTCAGAAAGAATGGTCAAATTCCTTGAAGGGGTCAGAGAGTGATATATGCATTAGTCGTCACAGGGTGGTCTAAAAACGTAGAACCAGGAATCTGATGAATAGGCTGATTGATTTTATTCAGCCATGTCTTTTCAAATTATTTAACTCGAGAAAGAACTTAAACCCCCTAGTGGTTTGTATATTTTATGCTATTTCTGTTTTGTTTGAAAAAATTCGGCCTTCTAAATTCACTCCACTATTCTGGAGATTCTTGGGACATGTAGTCATGTGTCAAAAGCTTTGCACATAATTTTGTGTAATAGTAAATCTTTCATTTGATTACTAACTTCATATTTGTTGTACAGTGAGAATATTCTTTTACAACCATTTCTTGCTGAAAAGAATGCATAGTAGAAGAATAAATGTAGCAAGTGTTCACAATAGTTTTGCTCTCACACAATATGGATTGACATTTGTAGGCCTGGAATCTTAGATCTTCTAATGCGATCCATGGTGATGAACATCTGTCAAGCTTCCAGCTTTTCATCTGTGGTTTAGCTGCTGGGACATGTGCAAAAGCTGTTTGTCATCCTCTCGATGTTGTTAAGAAGAGGTTCCAGGTATATTTTGGTTTCCATTGATTCTCTGTTTTGGTTTAATCCGAAGTCCGAACACATAAAAATCATTACTGAAGTTTTTAGGACAGCCTATACAGGTCTGCTTTTATTTATCCCCAAGTAGAGCCCTCTTTGGCTTTTTTTGGTTTCAAACTAAAACGAGGAAAACACCCGGTTGTTTTCCCCTTTAAAAACCAAACAACAATTGTTTTTGTTCTGCTGAAGCAGTGTCTGGTTTCCAGGAAAAAGAAAAAACAAAAAACAAAGGGTGGTTGTTCAAAAACAAAAAACAAAGGCGCTGGTTTAAACCATCTTTTATTTTGCTGGATCGTTCTTCAAAATTATGGGGGGAAAAAAAGAAACTTTCAGCTACTCGCAAATACGTATTGGGGCAAACAAAATCTTTTATTAGTTCAATTAATTTTTTTCCGCGATTGAAATGTTGGAATTGATTGTTCCAGAACATATCGTTTTCCAAAAAAACAACCAAACCTGTTTCAAGTCCGAATGCCTGTCTTGAACTGGCTGGAATTTGGGATACCGGGAGTAGATTCAGTTCCTCCAAATTTCCTTCTTCAAGCCAGTTGTCCTAAATTTAGAGTCCTTTCTATATAAACCTTTTCAAAGTGTCTTTGGTCTGGGACCTTTATCGAACTATTGAACTTGGGACCTCCGGAATTCCTATGCAAGATAACCCTCCTCTTTTGGAGCTATTGAACTTGGGATCTCTAGTATTTCTCTGCTAGATAGCTGCCGCCGCCTCCTCTTCACTCAGTTCATTCTCATATCCGGCTTCCTTTCCCCCTTTGGTATAATCAATTGTTTAAATTTAACTTACAATCTCACTATTTCTTCACTCTGGAACCTTTTCATAAATATGACAAGTAATTATCTTCGTTATCCACTATGACCCATATTCAATGCAGATGCGCACAATCTAGTGAATAAATTGTCATATTAAACTCGGGCCAAATCTTTTATCCCTTTTTTTTTTTAATTCGTGATCAATCTCTTTTTGTGTCCCTTAGCATTGTTAAAAGGAAAAGATGAGGAAGGAAATCATATGCAGTGAATGTTTATTGCTTGTGACAATAGTTAATGTTGAAACCGTATGTTTGCAGATCGAAGGACTGCAGAGGCATCCAAGATATGGAGCTCGACTCGAGCCTCGTGCCTACAGGAATATGTATGATGGCTTGCGTAGGATCTTGCTTGAGGAAGGTTGGGCTGGACTTTACAAAGGGATCGTCCCCTCAATTGTTAAAGCTGCACCTGCTGGTGCTGTAACATTTGTTGCTTATGAATATACGTCAGACTGGTTGGAGTCCATATTGACTTGAAGCTGCATAGCTCTTTTCTTACTTCCTCCTCGATGGTGGCGATAATTTTGAGTTTTTGTTGGTTTTTGTGTCATTCTTTTTCTCCATGTATCTTAAGAAGCCCCAACAGAAGTGAAAAATGGGGCAGTGTTTATATTGTTCAAATAGACCAACTAGTTTCAGGGCATAATTTATAGTTCTTGTAACAAAAGGGAATGTTATAGGTCTCATTCGGTTGGATGGCGTTATTGTCTCTACTAGAACTGAGCTCCTTTTAATAGTGATCACGCTTCTTTGTGTCTTTGGCAATATCAGAGATTTCATGGAAGCTTTTGATGCATTTTAGCTTTTCTTTTTTCCTGTTTGTATCTTAACTGTTCCACTCAAGAATGCAATGGTAAAAATGACTATAGCAAAGAATGGATGCAGTCGTTGAGACTGTTTGACAATTCCAACGATTGACCAATCAGAACTGCATATTACCAATCAAGTCTATTGGTTTTGGTAAAGCCCCATATCAATTGATCAACTGACTGCAAGAACGTTTAGTTAGATATTTGCAAGACCAAGCAAGAACTTCATCGAGCTGACTGTAAAATTAAGCATCTCGAATGTGAAGAACAAAAGGGTCCTCTTCTGGTACAATAAATATCATTAGGATCAATTTCTACAGTTATCATGGCAAATGCACTCATATTTCTCCAGGATTATGCTTGTAGGTCATTCTTACAACAGAAGAACTTACAGCTGCAAAATTGTGATGAAATTGATGCATAATGGAAACCACCTCTGGGGAAGTGGCAACTCCCTCATTACTTTGAACTATCCATCACTGGCTAAAAAATATGATAGACATCTCAAGTGCTCCTCTTTTTACTTGTGTCCTCCGGAGGCAATGATACAAACTGCAGAATCCTCTGAACCTGCGCGGCATCAACTCGAAACCGCTGAGCAATTTGGTTGATATCCATGGGCCCTTTATGATAATCAGCTCTGCCTTGATGCAGGAGTATAATTTCTCTTATTTGTGCCACATTCAACGTACCTGGAGGAGCAGGCCTTTCCTCGTATCTGCTAGACTCTGATGTTGTATTCCTTAGCTTAGGTAAAGCTCTATCATACTTCTCCACCACTGATGCCTGTCACAGTAGCCAGGCATTAACAACTTAGTATCCTGATACATGTATTCTTGCAATTATCACTAAGTTAGACTCTATTTCAACTGAAGCATTTAATCATGTAGCACAAATTAATTGTTGAATAACACGAGATCTTAATTTCATTTGCACCCAAGAAAAAATCGCTTGAGAGTTCGGTGTAAAAGAAAAAAAAAGTTGTACAAGTATCAACTGCCAAGATTAAACTAATAATAGAGGTGGTTTAACTACAAAAATGATAAAATTTTCTCAGAAGATTGACCATTATCTAAAAAATGACAAATAGGAGTATGTAAGCGAGCAGTCATGGTGATCATAATCAATGTACAACCTTAAACAGCTTAGACTTAAAAAGACTTTTATAGGATTGTCAATTTTCATCAGATTAACACAGGTTGAATTCTGCATGCCTGAAATAGATCATGTGATCATATCATTGTCTTACTCCTTTCAGCCAAAAAAAAAAAAAGGAAAAGGAAAGAATTGACTGAAAGCATAGAGGAGTTAGCACATACAGTTCACACTGCTCCTTACTTACACATAAGATGTGAGAGGAGGAAAGGAAGTAAAAATAGGGAGCTTGCATGCGAGCTTTTAAAACCCCTTGATATTTAAATGGGTGCTGGGGGAAAAGGAGCATCCAGAACAACTTTAGGTACTACACTTTATCTTAACAAAAGGCCGAGAAAGGTATAGACCAAATTTAGGTAAACTAGGACAATACGAAGAAACACATTTCCTCTAATACTTTGTGTTGACTTTTTGCGCTATCCTACCAAATGGCACAAGAAAATTTAGAATATACTTCCTACGAGGGGACAAGATTGGCCCCTCTAAATCACCCTCATCCTTCCTCTTTTTCAAGAAAAATGTCGCACTTGAGAAATTAGACACATGAACCAAAATCTTTATGCAATAATTCTGTGGGTGTGTCAAAAGTTGCAGAGTCTCAATAGGGCACAGGGCACACGTTCATTCTGAAAATTAATGTGCAAAGAAATGAGTTAACAATTGAAACTCACCTCACCCATCTCTAGCTTCCCACCAGGCTTAGCTCGAATTCTACCAACCATTTGACCAAGCATTGCATCAAACTTGGGATCTCTCTCTTCAAGGGTTTTTCCAACAGCAACCTTTGGGCTGCTATCTAAAGAAGCAAAAACAAATCACCACTTATCAAATCAGTAATTTTTGTTATCCAACAAACACTCCTGGAAGACATTATTCGAAGCTAGTTTTTTTCCTAGACAGATAGAAAAGTAAACAAGTGAAGACATTGACAGTTCTTGCAGCAAAAAGGCACCTAAATGGATAAAATCAATGTTTAATTCAAAACTCACAATCTGTCATGCACTGTGATTAGAACACATTGTATCTCAATCTTATAGACCCATTTCGCTGATAGAGACTCAAACTTAATTTTGCAATAAGCTGGATTCATATCAATTCATATTTTGAGGGGATACGCAAGATACACTTTCGATTGTCTCCGCAATGCTAAATATCAAAAAGATGGATAGGATTAAAGATCTGTTTCGTATCTTCTTCTTTTTCCTGCGACAGGTGGATTAAAGATCTGTTTCTTACTGAAAGTTATCTTTTAACATAAGCAAATTATCTGGACAATAACCAAACGCTGGCCTTACGTTGTTCTCAAACTTGCATTGACAGATTACTCAAAAGCATAAAAACTAACATAAACATATTCCAACTGCTCACACAGCGACTTGGTATAATTGACCTGCTCTTGTGTAACATGCATACCAAAGTACCATTCACCATTCTAGCTACGTAACAGTTCTACTATCCTAGTGAGCAGGCTTATTTAATTAAATGAATCAAGCTCTAATTATAGCTAACTTATTGAGCTTTGCACGTTCCAAGCCAGAAAAATGAAGAAGGTTGCAGTTAAGTTTGCAGTCAAATTATGAATACTCCTCTGAAATTGACACTGAAGATTCATAAAAATGAACCCAGCTAGTTTGGTATAGATGCATAGTTGATAGATTGATAAATAATGATGCTCTAGTTATATTCTTAAGGAAATTACAACTGAATGAACAAAATGAGCAAAAGACCTCGACAAAACATTTGCTTCCGTAATGGGAAACATTTTCCTCATCCCACCTCCATATTCTTTCCGTATCTTATTCTCACATTCAAATTGGTAGTTTAACTCAAAACCTATGATTAACAATTCATGCAACAAACAAATCAGTTTTTGCAGACTCCCTTCTAATGGAAACTAAAAATGAGAGACAACCACACATTAACTAACCTAAGTTTTCCTTCTTAGTCTAATGTTTCATAAACTTGCGGCAGGTCAATGGCCAGCATAAAGCTGCTCAACTTATGATGAGAAATGAAACCGGTCCAAATGGAACCAAAAAAATAGTGAGGGCTCATATAGCCGACCCCAACTAACTTGGGACTGAGGCGTAGTTGTAGTAGTGAAATTGATTAAAAAGGTCACTCACTAGTCACTACTGTTTTCTCAAATCACTAATCCTTAATTTTTTTGATAATGGTGATGTCAGCTTGCGCACACCTCAAACTAATTCCACCTGGTACATGCTCATACAGCTACATGAAACCCATTGAAATGGAACGACAAGAACAGTAAGGACACATAGCGGACCACAACTAACTTAGGACTGAGGTATAGTTATAGCTGTAGTTGCATTAGTGAAATTAACCAACAAGTTTACTTAGTACTGTTCTCCCCAAACTTGTCTCATGTTTTGGAGAGTCAAATAGGCTTTTTCTTTCATTATATATTTTTTCAAACTTTTTTAATAAATAATTTTAGCTACAAGAACTTATAGCAGTATTAAAAATGTAAATTTTATTTCAAAACTGTTAATCGTTTTAACAGAGTAAATGAGTAATTTTTATGTAATATAAAAAATTTTGAACACAAGTTCCAAAATTACAAAAAGAAAAATATAAATGAATGAATTGAAATTGTAGACGTAGAAACAGAAAAGGGCATACCGGCAACTGGAGCAACATTATCGGCAGGGGTCTTAATCGCCGCCGGTGCAGGCGGGGATCTCCGGTCGATGGGTTTCTTCAGTTGAGACGATGCCGCATCGACATTAGAACTTCCGATCCTTCCAGTTGCTCGACGAAATGCCTGACCCATTTTCCCCCAATTAATCCCCTTTATACTCCAAATGTTATGTATATAAGACTATATCTTGAACCCAAAAAAAACATAAAATGAAATTTCTTATATAAGTTTGGTTTTATGGGTTTATGCTCTTTAATTTGTCACTAAATAGACCCCTAATTGAATGGAGAGTTAAATTGTTAGATTGGAGAAAGAGACAGAAAGGAAGGTGAGAGTATTTATAGTTGGGACATTGGGATTGCGTTGAATACAACATCCACGTATAGGATTTTACAATGAGGCACGTCTCTAATGTTTGTGTGCCTATGTTTATATTGGATTACACTAATTTAATTTAATGCACTATAAGTGATAAGCCGGAGATATTAAGATAAGATATACTCTCTTCGTTCACTTTTACTTGATAGGTATACTAAAATATATTTTTATTTTTATTTATTATTTTACACATATCAACAGAATGATAATTTTTTTCCCTGTTATATACACAATATTTATTATTTATTTTAAATTATTTTCTCAAATCCAATAAAATATACATCAATTAATATGAGTATCATGATAAATTATACACTTCATTTATTATTTCTTAAGGGACGTGAAAAGTCAAAACGTGCCAATTAAAAGTGAATGGAGGAAAGTATATTATAATTACACTTAAGGGAGGACCTAGTGACTAATGAAATGACTGTAAATCTTGATGATCAGGTTCAAATTTCAGTAAATACAACAAACAAAAAGTGAATTCTACTAAGCTTTGGCAGCGAAAGCTACCTGATTCATGCGTAGCGAAAGATAGCATGTAACTAATAGAATAATTAAGGTAGGCACAAACTAATTAGGATACCATCATTGTTAAAAGAGAAAAAGAGAAAAAGTGTACATAAAAAGTAGGAGTACATGATATTATATTAAATAGAAAATAAAAAGGTTGGCCATAAATACAATGTTTGACTGAGTTTCTATGTTCAATCAAAAGCTAGACACATGTCACATAATTGATATTTACCTTAAATCATATTAATTTTTATTAATAATTAACTGCTAAATTGAAATCGAAATATATATCAATTTATTAATTATACCCGAGATAAATTTTATATAGCAATCACATGCTTGTGACTTGATACATTGAGTAAATATTTCTTCTTTATGTTGTTAGAACTTCATTGTTTCTTCATTTGTTTTTTCTTGTTTCACATTGTGCTTTTCTTTTCGTCAGAAAATTTTCTACAAATTATGTTTTTAGTGTAAATAAAAAATTCAGACATCATTTTCTCCATGTTTCTTTAGTAAAATTTATATAGTTATCAAAATTTTGTACTAAAATATTAAAGAAAATATTTGGAAAACTTAAAGTCAGAAAGAATTGTTTGTCTTCTCAAATAATAAAAGAGTTAAATTAAAATGGGACAAATGAAATAATGGAATTCTGTATCAAAGGGATTAAGAAATCATATTATTAAGATTATTGTTGATTGGACTAGAACAACACCATTTTTTCTGTGTTTTCCTAACTATTTGGACCGGCATATTAGACTTTAAAAGTTTCATTCCGATAGTTTTTCAAACAATAATTCTAAATAAAGTATATAACAAAAAAATATACAGGATAAATTCAAATGTCATGTAGGCTTAATATGATAGTATTTGTCCCCCCCTTTTTCGCTTTATTAATGTGCATGCTAACTAGTTCTATAAAAATATCAATAATAGAATGAAGAAACGTAAAATATCAATAATAGAATGAAGAAACGTCCTAAATAAAAAAGAAAAGATTAACTTCAATACATATCCTAAAGTAACGGGTTAAGACAATACACCTTTTTTTTTTTTTGGTTGAGATATTTACCATTACACTAAACTACTTAAGTTTAACTTCTTATGTTAAAAATAAAACTATTGTAGCTTAAGAGCCCGTTTGGACATTAGAATTTTTTTTCTTTTTTCCAAAAAAATTTTACTTTTTTCCGAAATCAACGTTTGTTCATTAAATTTTTAATTTTCACTCAGAAGATAAAGATAGTATGTAACCATAAGTACTACAATCTGGACATGGATTTCCAATCTGGACATGGATTTACACATTAAATAGTTGAATCCCCCATAACCATATACTATGTAAAGTTGCTGCCATTAGACTGCTACTCTACTCTCGCAAAAGTGATTCTTATTAATAAAAAAAGAAAATCTTCGGAGATAGGATAGTATCATAAGGTTAAAGATGGATATAAGTACTAGGCACTAACTATACTAACAAAGCCCCTTTTACAAACTACAGTTTACAAATAGGTGGTTTATCGCTTTGTTTAACCAAAACGAATGTGCTGCTCATCTTGAGGAAAGTTCATTAAAAAGATTAGGAAAAAGAACAAAAGAACCAACTGAAAATATAGAGGTAAATGAAATTTTTTTTTATGGTGGGGGGATGAAGTTCTAATGGCCTATGGACTAAATATTAGTAATCACTAAGATATCTACAATCTCAATTAAAGTGACAACACTAATCACATAATCACTTGTGTCCTTTGTTCCATCAAATGTGCATGAAATTGCTGAGTAATCTTTCTCGTTCCTGTGATGCTGCAACTGCAATAAAATCAATCAAACCTCTTCCTTTGAACCTGAAGAAGAATATTTCTCTCCCCCTTTTACTATTGCTGAATATCACAATCCCCCTGTTGCATATACATTTTTTACTGGTGAAATTTGTGATCGAGCAACGACCTTTTACAGCCATTCTGGTGTCACAGCTGGCAGCGAAGATCCCGCGTTTCAGGGATAGTTAACAGACATCAATGGCACGTGCAGCTAGACCACAGAACGAGTGACACATTGAAGCACTTGTTTAGTCATCTTGCCAGTTTATGGACCTGAGATTGTTGTCCCAATCTCCTCGGGTGGATGCTGAATTTTGCCAAACATGTTGCTCTCACACCCCTTAGTTACAACAGCTTCACCTTCTTCCATTTGGGAAACCACTGTGCTATTGCTAAAGTCAGTCCCCATACAACCAGGGGTTGGTTGCGAGCTCCTGGAAGATGTCGACTTCCTTTTTGAACCACCTTCTTTACTCTTTTGCCGCCTACTATGCACAGTCAAGAAACCATTTGCCAGAGCTTCAAGTGCTCTCGTGGTTGGAGGCCGATTTCTAGTGCCATGCCTACGTGAGTTCAAGCTAGGTTGCTGCTGCTCCATACTAGCACTATGTGTCGATGTCTTCAACTCACCAGAAACATCATCAGGCCTCTTCGTGTTACCACTTAGGTCTTCCGTCAATGCTGGCATCAGAATCTCATATTCCGAATCAGGGGGAACTTGAGGTTCATTAAGGTCAATCATTGCCCTAGTTTGAGGTTCCTCTTCAGGAAGCTTTAACACATGATGATCAGCAGAAGCACATTCGGCACTTTGAGAAGGACTGCTCTTTGACGAACTGCTTGATGACACCTTATCCTCAGACGAAGCTATCTGAATGTTGTTCAGCGATAGGTCATTGCTGCTCGAGGTGTGACGCACTTCTTGTTCCCTTCCTGGAACCATCAAAGAATTTACCATGACACTACTGTTTGTCTCTCCACGACTACAAGCCGTTAGTCTCCTACGCTTCTGGGCAATGGGAGCTACAAAGTGCACATTGTTTTCTTTCAATCTCTTGTTCGAATGGGCTTTTATCACTTTTCTTGGCTGCTTGTCTTCACAGATGTTTTTGGTGTTCTTCGAAGCATTCACCGGTACAGTAGAAGAAGCAGGATGTGGAACTTCCTGAAACTTCTTGCTTGAAGCACTGATTTCGAAACCCTTCTCATCAGAATGCGGTTCTCCATTGGAGAAAATCCTCGAGGAATTATTATGATCCGTCTTAGCTTTATTAGTACCAACGGAGTCTGATTCATCAGTAGACAATTCCTCTTCACTCTCTTCGGCATGGCTTCCCAAAGACAATTTGCTTGAGATTTCCGCCGGAAGACTTCCCAACTCTCTCACTTTATAGGGTTTACCATCAGAGAGACTTGTATCTACAACTGTAAACTTCATAACATCTGTACATCGATTAGGAGTTCTAGGTTGAAGATAACAAGGACGTTGTCTAGTTGGAAGATCATCTTGTTCTAACTTTGCTTCATCTGTCCAATCACGACCTTCTTTACCTTTGGTACATTCATCTTCGGCATCAAGCTCTAGAAGCTTTGGATCAGAAGCAACTTTACCCAATACATCTGTAACTGAATCAAAATAATGGATCCCTTTGATTAATCTCCTAGAAAACTTCTTAACACCAGGCATGAGAAAAACCAACGCATTCTTGGGATTAGCAGCGTAGTTCAAGTTTTTAGGCTGCTCTGAGTGCCAACCTCTTGCTAATAGACGGGGCCAAACAGCTTCCCAGAATAGATCATTGGATCGAGCTTTACTAAGTCGGTAATCTCCAGTTAGAAACTTAACTACTTCGTTGGTTGTAAGAGAGGAGCATGCTTTGCCAGCTGGGAGTTCCGAGCGTATAGCATGATTGGACTTTGAAGGTTCCAAGGCCACACATGTAAGATCGTATTTATCTTTGCCGATTCCAACTGCTTCTATGAGCATGTTTACCCCAACCATAGCCTTTAACGAGAACACATACTCTTCCAACAATATCTTTCCTTCACCAAATGCCTTGGAGACCTGCCAAGCAATCAGATTAACTACAGTATTTATAAGCAGAAAGGGGTGCGCTGCATGAGTACCAAATTAGAAATGAAACCTAACCTACTAAAATGTCACAGGAGACTGAAACAGTCACAAATTAACAATATTGTCTGAAGACATAATTTTCTTCATGCAGTAGCGGTAATTCAACCAAAATAAGAAGTAGCATTGCCCAAAAACTTACCATTGATGTCACTCTTCACATCACAAGTTATAAAACCTCTAACGGAAGCCTATCCACATAATCAGACAGATAGATAACCAGAGAAGTTTGCAATTTGCAGACTTTGATGGTATGTGGTTTCAAGTGTAAGTTCAGACAAAATCCATTCTAGTAATACTTTAACAGTTCATGCACATGTTCTGTCGATCAAGAAATCGACTGGTTATCACTCATAATAACCTTTCTTTGTTTTTTTTTTGGGTTGCTCAGAATAACCTAATAGCAACACTTCCTCTTTTCCCTACATCTAGAACAGATTTTTAGAAAAATGCACATTTGTGCCAGATAACTAGAAACTGATGCGCATATGAAGCCTGATGCATGCCAATGATAGGC